TGGACATGTGTGTGTGTGTGTGTGTGTGTGTGTGGAGGTGTGCGTGGTCGGCGGCCTCCCTGGGACACATGTGTGCGTGTGTGGAGGTGTGCGTGGTCGGCGGCCTCCCTGGGACACGTGTGTGTGTGTGTGGAGGTGTGCGTGATCGGCGGCCTCCCTGGGACACGTGTGTGCGTGGTCGTCGGCCTTCCTGGGACGTACGTGTGTGTGCGTGTGTGGAGGTGTGCGTGGTCGGCGGCCTTCCTGGGACGTACGTGTGCATGCGTGTGTGGAGGTGTGAGGAGCTGTGCGTGGTTGGCTCTGCTCACCAGCCTCTCCGCCGCAGGTACATGTCGCAGGGCAAACACTCGGAAGCCCGGGAACTGATGCGCTCAGGGGCCCTGCTCTTTTTCAGCCATGGTCAGGTAAGCAGGCTTTCCCTGTCTGTACCTGTCTGTTTGGGGCAGTATTGACATGTGAGTGAGTGACAGGGCCCAATGGGCTGCCCTCTGTCCTGGTGGCCCTGCTTCCTGCTCCCTCCGGAGCGGTCTTGCACTATGGGGGTGCATGTGTGTTCAGGCAGGTACTGGGGCATTGACCTCCTCCCGACTTCACCAGGGAAGAAGTGTCTTATCGGCATCAGCAGCCCAGGGCTGGGTCCTGTGAGGCGGAGTCAGACATGCGGTCTCTGTGACCCCGTCTGTCCCTCCCACACTCTGCTTCTCTGCTGGGTTCAGTAGGTGGGTCGCTGCAGTGGCCGCACAGTTACAGGGTTTATTGGGGAAGAAACAGGTTACTACTCAGGTTCAGAACGACTCAGGATCCGGCTCTTGCTCAGGACAGCTGCTTATCGCCCACTACTGTTGGGCCCCACCGGGGACCTCGTCGGGCAAGTGCTAGTACTCAGCTCTGCGAGTCGGCGAGCCCGTCTCCTGGTCCCTGGTCTGTGCCGTGTCTTGCTGCTATCTCACCGTCTCTTGTATCTCCCGTGTCACAGTGCTCCCTGTCTTTTGGGTCCAAGGACACACTCTGCTCTTAGCTCTTCCTTCTTGGTGGTAGTGAAGTCCCCCTTGTCTGCCCTGGGTAGCTCATTTAAGTCTATGGAGATGGAAAAACTGACCAATCCCGTCCTTAGGGTTACACAAACCTTATTTGCATGGCCCCACCCTCACAAGGGTGCCAGGCCCCTTGTTTCCATTATTAGCAAGCCATCCAAGCCCCTGGGTGGGCCCCGATCACCTCATTTGCATAGTCCCACCCAGTCATTTGGTGGGAGTTACAAGACCATGGAGAGAAGCCGGAGTAGAGCTGTCTGTGACTCCTGCCCTCTCTGGGCCCTGGGTGCTTGGGAGTCCAGCACGTCGGGGCACCAGCTGCTTCAGAGCTGCTCTCAGAAGTCGGGGCTGACAGCGCATCGGAGCCCCCTCTCTGAGTGTCGCTCGCGGGTGTGTTGTGTAGCAGAACAGCGCCGCGGACCTGTCCATGCTGGTCCTGGAGGCTCTGGAGAAGGCAGAGGCGGACGTGGCCGACGAGGTGCTGGGTGAGTGCTGAGGCCAGGCTGTGCGAGGCCAGCTGTGCAGTGAGGTGGGCGCGTGTGGCTGCTGGTGCTAGGTGGGGAGGCCACCCTTACAGCCCCACCACTGAGGGGCACATGGGGGCACGTGCCAGGGGAAGGGGGACATGGGTAGGGAGGCACTGCCAGGGGCGTGATGGGAAGGCACATACAGGGGCGTGCCAGTGGGGGGGAGTACACACCAGGAATGCATTGGTGGGGCACATGCAGGGACCCATTGGCAGGGGCACACGCAGGGTCGCATCAGCAGTGGGTACACACAGGATCGCATTGGCAGAGGGGCACACTCAGGGTCACATCGGCAGGGGGTACACACAGGGTCGCAGCGGGGGTGCACGCGCAGGGTCACATCGGCAGGGGTTACACGTGCAGGGTCACAGCGGGAGCACGTGCAGGGTCGCATTGGCGGGGCTACACACAGGGTCACCTCAGTGGGGACACACATGCAGGGCCACCTCGATGCTCCTCCTGTGGACGGACTTGTTCGCCATCCGTGCCTGCAGATACACCGTGTCCTCGACTGACGGTCTGTCTCATTCCAGGAAACCTGGCCAAGCTGTTCAGTCTGATGGACCCCAACTCCCCGGAGCGAGTGGCATTTGTGTCTCGAGCCCTGAAGTGGTCCGGGGGTGGGTCTGGGAAGCTGGGCCACCCCCGGCTGCACCAGCTCCTGGCCCTCACGCTGTGGAAAGGTAGGCACACCGCTAGGTGCACAGCCCTCCGTGCTGGACTGGCCTCTCGGCCTGGCAGGAGTGGGTGCCCCAGAAGACATGCAGACCACGGGGCGCTGAGTGGGACTGTCTAGAGTCGTGTCACTTCTGGTTGGTGAAGTCACCCCCTACAGACGTGAGCAGGAGCCCATGTGACACTGTACAGCCAGGCGTTTCACATGATGACTCGTGTCTCCTCTTCAGTCAGTCACCATCACTCCCAGGAGAAGCCCCACGGCAATAGCAGGACAGGTGTCCCCGTGCAGCCCCCCACCAGACATGCCAAGGGCCTGCACCTTAGGCAGCACTCGGGGTGACTTGAAGGTGGCTGAGCCCTCTGACCCTCCATGAGTGCCTGCTGTGTGTACCGGGCACCAGCTGGACTCCACATGCAGGCGGGCTGCGGCCCCAGGACATCGCTCTCAGTGGAGGGAACATACGGCAGACATGAAGGTCATGCCAGCGACAGTGGGCTCCGTGGAAGCAAAAGAGCAGCAGGGGGCAGGGGCATGGCGGGGAGCCCTCGCTGGCCGGTGGTGGCCCTGAGGGACGAAAACAAGCTAGTTGTGGCTTTACGTCGGAGTCTTACCTGTGATGCTCAGGTGTTAGGGTTCGTGCTCACTTGATCTATGGCTCATGGCTGTTCCTGTTGGTCATGTGGGTCACCCTGATGGGTTAACATAATAGGCTTAGTGGCCTCCCACTTCCAGGACCAACGGCCTTCCCTGGCTGAGTGATCTTCGCCTGAGAGCTATTCATTGGGCTTTGGACACTTGAACTCCGTGGGTTGGCGCGATGTGTGTGCTCAGGGGAGGCCCCGTCTGCACGTGCCCTGCTGTAGGCTGTGAGGAGGGAGGGGGTGGGGCACAAGGGCAGGGGGCAGTGGGTCCTGTGTTGGGAGTGTCCTGTGGGGTGTTGTCCTTGCGTGTCCACGCATGAGCTTGTTTTCCTTCTCCCTCCACAGAGCAGAACTACTGTGAGTCCCGGTACCACTTCTTGCACTCTGCCGACGGGGAGGGCTGTGCCCACATGCTGGTGGAGTACTCCACGTCCCGAGGCTTCCGCAGCGAGGTGGACATGTTTGTGGCCCAGGCCGTGCTCCAGTAGGTGCTCCGTGTTCGCTCTCTAGAGGTGGCTCCTCTGCTGCCGGCTGGAGCTGCTTTGGGAGTGACTCGGTTCACCTGGGTGGTCGCTGGCCCAGGATGACAGCAGCCCTCATCTGCCTGTTGCTGTGGGCCCCGTGGGTGCCGGGCATGAGGACGCTGCGCTGAGCCAGGGAGCACAGTCAGGTTTCTGTACTTGAGATCGGCTTGCTTTCCTCTTACACCGCCGAGCTGCAGCCTGCTCCCCGTGGGCGCTGTCCCGTGTCTTGTCCGGGCAGTGTGTGTTTTATGCGGCCTCCTGGAGTAGGGTGAGCTCACCATCAGGCAGGTGGTACACCCATCTTCCCAGGTGGTCTTGTAGACGTAGTATCCTGACACATGAATGGGCCACGCTCTGCATGGCATCCCCACCAGCCTCCCTCTCATCCCCGGACCCTGGGCCCCATGCTGTCCAGCCAGCCTCCCCTCCTCCCCTGACTCTGAGCCCTGCCTTGTCCAGTCAGGCTGCCGTCTCCTTTCTCTTCTTAGCAACACTTGATCTGGAATCCTAACACCTCGACCAGGGGTGAAGGGGTTTTCCAGTGGATGTCTGGGTGTACCACCCAAGCCCCATTCTCACAGCACTCCACCAGGCTGTTGAATGGGCTGGGGCATCAATCCAGGGGCCAGAGCCCCTGATGGGTAAGAGGCACCTGCCAGACAACCACCTGCTGAGCCATTTCCCAAGCTTTAGTCTTTGCTGTGTTTCTGGTGGAGATGTTTGCATGAGGTCAGGTTTATTTCTGCCCACAAAAGCCTTGACTTGGCCAGCCAGCATTGAGATCAGATTCATCCCGTGGAGTTTGGGGCAGGACTCGGCCGGGTGTTCGCTGTACCCTTCTGCCTCCCAAGCTGTAGCACTGCCATGGGACGGATTCCACAGTGACTCTGAAAATAAAAAAACTGCTTAAATCGCAGACTCACACTCACTGGTCCTGCTTCATAGTGTGTGGCTCAGGTGTCTGCCCTGCACCACTCACCATGTGGCTCAGTTCCTTTCTTGTTGCCCTAAGAAGTGTGACCTGGAGGACAGCATCTCGTGAAGTCCAGCTGGCAGGGTGCTCTGTGGAGTGGGACCTGGGGCCTGCTCGGTGTAGCACCAGTGCTAGGCTGTCTCTCCTCAGGTGGCAGGTGCCTAACGGGGCGGAGAGGGGAGGGAGGAGCTCAGTGAGTCAGGGACCTGATTCATCATCAAGTTCTTGCCCCACGGTTGGCTGACCTTGACTCACCTTGACCTTCCTAAGAGTAATTCAAAAAGCTGTTGTCTAGTGAGAGACCTGGGGTCACTCAGAGCCACGGCCCAGGGCAGGAAGCGCCTGCACGTGGTGGCCTGCTCAAAGCCAGGTTTTTTCCTTGTGTGAGGTGTGTGCGGCGTCTGTCCGTGTGGCGGCGGGGGGAGCCAATCTCTTCCCCGCCCCCACCCAGTCTCCGCTCACGCGACGACTCTTCCTTCCAGATTTCTATGTTTAAAGAACAAGAGCAGTGCATCTGTGGTCTTCACGACGTACACGCAGAAACACCCGTCCATTGAGAACGGGCCTCCGTTCGTACAGCCCCTGCTCAACTTCATCTGGTTCCTGCTGCTGGCTGTGGACGGGTAAGCGGGCTGGGGTGGGGCCCCTGCCTCGTTTTCTTGTCTTTTTATGAGGACCAGTGCTTAGCTCGCCTTCCCTGTTTTGTTCCAGAGGCAAGCTGACTGTGTTCACAGTGTTGTGTGAGCAATACCAGCCATCCCTCAGGAGGGACCCAATGTACAATGAGGTGAGGGGCTCAAAGGAGCCAGGTCACAGAGGGCCCTTCCGGGTCAGGGCTGCTCCCCGGTGACCTTCGCCTTTGCTCTTCCAGTACCTCGACAGGATAGGACAACTCTTCTTTGGCGTACCACCCAAGCAGACGTCTTCCTATGGAGGCTTGCTAGGTAAGCCCAGGACGGAGGGCACTCAGAGCCGCACAGGGGAGAACCTCCTGGCTGTGGGGCTCTGCCCCCGGCACCACCGTGGCTCTTGGCCTCCTCACGGGCTCCTGTCTGGTCTGCCTCTAGTCCTTCTCTTGTCATAGTCCCAAAGGAGAGGCCACGGAACCTCTTGGCATCCATCCTGCCTCCCCGTCTGCCCACAGCTGCCACAGCGGGCAGCCCTTGGGAGGGCCCTCCCACGTCCCAAGGGTAGGAACTAGTGTAGGCCTTTATTGGACCGTGCTTTCTTAACCTTTATTTTAAAAATTATTTTGATTTTATTTCTTAACGAGTAATTTATTCACACACTTCAAAACTCTAGCTTCTGACCCGACCTCCTCACTCTGCAGGCTTCCTCTCGGGGCAGGCCATGTGCAGGTTTCTCATCCTTACACCCAGAGGGAATTTCCTGTCTACCAGCAGAAGCTGAGCGCTCCCTTTGTCCTGCACCAGTGACACCTGTTGTCCACACTGCTTTGTACCTCACTTTTTTAGCTTAACCGATCTGGAGCTGTTTCCCCTAACGTAGAGCCTGGTTCGCTTGTGGGCTCAGCCTCATAGCCATCGCGGGCGCGCACCACGGCTTGCACTGTTGCTGCCCATTCAGGCTGTGTGCAGTCAGTGCTGTACCGTGTCCTCTGATGTCTTTTCCTGAGTGCACTCGCTGCCACAGGAACTGACCCCTGCCCTGTTCCCTGTACACTCAGCGCTGCACTCTCGCACACCCTTTCTGTGTACCGTTGCATCCGAGGAACATGTTTGTAAGGTAATTTGCTAGCAGTGAGGTTGTCTTCTCATGTAGGTTGTGTTTTTCACTTACAAGCTCTGCCTGTCTGCAGCATATTTCAGTGGGTGGGAGGTCTCCCTTCCCAGGTCTCCGGGTCGCCACACCACCACCACTCACGTAGGTGTCCACCTTGTCCTCTGTGGGCCTGGAGTGAATACCTCATTTGCACGGGCCCTCCCAGGACTTCTGGTCTTGTCGCCCTGTTGTACCTTCACAAAATTACTTTCAGTTCATTTTTCCGCCAGAACTTGAGATTGGCTTCCCATTGCCCCAGTGTGTTGTCATTGTGCTTGTTGGGACCAACTTCAAGTGGAGACCCACAGGGAAGCTCTTCCTCACTGTGCTTCCTGACTGGAGACAGTCTCCTCATCTGTTCTTGTGTGTCCCTTGTGGCCTGGCTTATGTAAGAGATGCCTGTTGGGTGAGAATCAGGGATGCCAGGAGGAAGCAGGCGGTGGTGACACCCACGTCCCCAGAGGCCTTGGGACATATGCCCTTGAAGATCTGTGTGGCCTGGTCAGAGTACAGCAGGGCTGTCAGAGGTGCGGCAGGGCTGTGACTGCATTGCCTGTGATTCTGCTCCTCTCCTCAAGACTTGGCTTGAACGCTCTGTGGGGCCCATGTGCTGCGCTGGGTCACCCGGCCCACGGCAGCTGCGTTTCTTCTCCTCCCTGTTCTTTGTCCCTCCACCCTTCCCTTAAGAAACTTCTCAGCTCTGGGATCCTGGGCTGCAGGGCACATGCCTGGTCGAGGGCTCCGCCCTGCCCCCAGCTGGCCCCGTTTCCTTGCAGGGAACCTTCTGAGCAGCCTCATGGGCTCCTCGGAGCAGGAGGAGGGCGAGGAGAGCCAGGAGGACGGCAGCCCCATCGAGCTGGACTGACGGACGTGCGGGCGTCGCGGTGGCACCGACGCCTGGGCAGCCTCAGGATGGGGCCCCGCGAAGCGGCTCCCCAGAGGCTCTCATCCTGAGGCTGGCGGGCTGCGCCCAGGGCCTGGCCTCCTGTTGGCGGGGTGGCCGGGCAGCCTGGCTGCCGTTGCTGTGCTGGCGGCACTGGGGGTGAGTTGCGTGGCCCGCAGTGTCCCCGCCCCTCAGATTGCTCTGTAATAAAGCACAGGCTTCCTGCGACAGCCCCGCCCATCTTTGTTTCAGCTTCCTGCGGGGCTGGGGATGGCACGGCACCGCCCTCATGGTAGCGGGCTGCACGCTCACGGCTCCCCTTCCCCGGGCCAAGTGTGTGGCCGTGGGAGTGGTTCTCTTTGCCTTGTCTGGTTTCAAGCCCGTCGGGCCCTCATGCGATCATGGTGTATGTGTGCCGTCAGGAGCATGAGCCGTGGGCCCTCTTCCCCGTGGCCACCACGCTGCAGCCAGGTGCTGCGTCCCTGTTCACGTGCTGTCACTGTGCTGACGGCATTGCTCCTGGGAAACGGCCATTCTAAAGGGAGCCTGCGGAGCCTTGGCTCTGTCGTGGGTCCCCCGGAGCCCCGGCTCTGTCGTGGTGCAGTGTTGGTATTTGTACTGGTAATTGACTCTTTAGGTTGTAACCAAATACCGTCCCAACGTCAGCAGATCCGCCCTGTCATTGAGCTTTACCAAGGTCACCAGTGTAATCACAAAAGGGAAGACACTTTATTTTTTCACTTCAAAAGCTGTAGATTAACACGCAGTGATCATGCATGGGAAGGGGTCAGAGATGATCTTATTTACTGTAAACATGGATTTAAAGGAAGGTTTTGTGTTAACTGTTGAGTTTAAATAAATACTTTATACTGGGCTTTGCTGCTTCTGGAATTTGCTCGAGCTTGGCACGGTGGCCATCCTGGGCACACCCTGAGCTCTCGGTGCTGGCGGGTTGGGGCTCTGTTGCTGGACTCGCCCTCCCCGGGGCATCTGAGCACGGCCCCGGTGCTTGCCCTGGTGGGACAGCCATGGCACCAGCTGCCAAAGCTGGGAACGGTGTCTCTCGCTCAGCTGTGATGTTAGGGTGAATGTGTGTCGGTGTGTGACATTCTGTTTAGATTTGGAAAAATCAGCTCCACTGGTCAGAGGCAGGCCAGAGCTGGTCCGGTCCGTGGGGTGGACGGGCCTGGGCTTGGTGGCTGCAGTGCCCCCTGGTGGCCGGGCAAGCTGTGCCTGCGGTCGGGAGCCACGTGCTTCAGAGAACAGAGCAGCTGTTGGCCCTATGGCCTGTGTCCTGGGAGAAATTCTTCACCGAGACAGTGAGGCCGACCTCTCGGTTTCCTTTTCAGTAGTGTGATGTGCACACACATAAACACAGGCACACACACAACGTGCCTGCTGCCTGGCTGCAGGAGGCCTACGACCCCTGGCCCAGAACAAGGTCCCTCACCTCGAGCTGTTTCCTGTCTAACAATGATGGGGCTTCACTGGGGAGGCGAGCCACTCGCTGCAGACCTGGGTTCCGAGCCCACAGCTGGGCGGGGGGAGGCTGGCAGCCTCCTGGTGGGCCTCCCTGGGATTGGGAGATGGGGTAGGGTGAGATGCCCCAGCCCTGAGGTGCCTAGTGGGTGGCCCTGGGTCTCGGTGATGGCCAGCAGTGACCCCGTCACTGAGAGAATGTGTCACCCCCACCCCAGCCATCCTGGGGAGCCCAAGCTTGAGAGCTGGGACAGAGGCCTGGGGCTCGGGGTGACGCCCAGCCCAGAGCTCCGGAGTTGGGGGGACACGGGCCCTGCTGCCCGGGTGCCTCGTTCCTCTCACTGACTCCCCCGGAGTTGGGGGGGACACGGGCCCTGCTGCCCGGGTGCCCTTGTTCTTCTCACTGACTCCCCCGGAGTTGGGGGGGACATGGGCCCTGCTGCCCGGGTGCCCTTGTTCTTCTCACTGACTTCCCCAAGTCCTTGGGGCTCCATGTTGAACTGTAGGGGTGGGAGATGGGGGCTCTGGATACCCAAGGCCCCTCGGCTGCCTCAGCTGTGAGCAAGGCGGGTAACAAACAGCTTCCTGCTCCAGGCCACAGGCACAGACCTCACCATGGGGGACGAAGCCAAGAATGTTCCCAGCCAGCCCTCCTTCCTCACTGCCCGCACCCCAGCACAGCCGACCCCCTCTCTTGGTCTTGTACCCGGTCAGCCCACTTTCCCCAGAGCGTCCCCCCGACCTCATGCACGTACGCATGCACAAGACCACAACAGAGCCACAACTTTATTCTGAGTGTGACACAGTGACCACAAACCCCCCCTGGGCCACTGGTCCCCACTGAGGAGACCAGTCACCCTGCATGTGGCCCAGACAGGGCAGGTGCCACGCCACAGGCCAGCCCAGTTCCCCCCTGGACGTCCAGGTGCTCGTGGGAAGGGTCGGGTGAGATAAATACAGAGCACTGCAGCTACTGGCCGGCCAGCAGCGAGCCGGGGGCCGCACCCCCAGGGTCAGCGGGAGCCCCAGGGGGGTGGCAGGCCCCGGGCCTCTGTGGGCCCCGCCCCCAGCCAGGTCTCCAGGGCCCTCCCTGGGGCTGCTGTCAGCAGGGCTTCCGCAATACCGCCTGGCCGAGCTGACTTCAGGGACTAGGGCTGGCTGGCTGTCCCCGCTCCTCACAGTGACAGACAGCTGCTCAATAAATAGTTGTTAGAGGCAAGGAGGGGATGACATGGAGGGGCAGTGTCCCCAGACTGGCGATGGCATGGGGCAGTGTGGGGATGGGGAGCAGAGGTACATGGGCAGCCCGAGTTCCCACATGCAGCCAGGCCCATGGGCGCCCACCGTGCCCTGTGGAGGCCAGAAAACTGCTCAAGCCCCTGCAGGGCGGCCAGGCAGGCAGGAGGGAAGGGAGAGGCTGCTGGGGGGCCAAGGTGTGTCTCAGGGACAGGCCAGCAGGCTGGGAGCGCATCCAGGGGTGGGGGGCCGGGCCAGAGCAGCAAGGCCAGGCAGGGGTCAGGCTAGGCCACAACCGGGAGGCCCACACTGAGGCTTTGAACAAGTCCTCCTGCCGAGACTCAGGCTGAGGGGCAGGGGGTCCCAGGCCCACCCGGCCACTCGGGGCTGCCCCTCCCAGCGGGGCCAGGCCCGACCCCCAGGCCCCTCGGAGCACCCCTCGCAGGCTAGCAGATCCAGCCGTCTCGAGTCCAGAGCAGTGTCCTCAGCTCCGCCGTCCTCTAAGGTTTATGCTTGAAATGGGCCTCCACTGAAAACAGGGCCAGGCCAGCTCACCAAGTGCTCCAGCTCGGCCCCTGCCCTACAGCCCATCTAGGACCCCATCCAGACCCAGGGAGAACCCCATCCAGACCCAGGGGGCCCCCATTCCAGACCTGGGGGGCTCCATCCAGACCCAGAGGGGGCCCGATCCAGACCTGGGGTCCATCTAGCCCCAGGGGAGCCCCCATCCAGACCATGGGGCCTCCACCCCCGGCTGCCCTGGACTTGAGCCCGCCCGTGCCCTCACCTGCGTACTCCTGGGGTAGCATGGGCCGGTCCACAACACTCTCGAAGGCGGCCACCCATTGCTGGCGGTCAGCCTCTGTCTCACAGGCGAACAGGAACTTGCGGTCGGGTGTGACGATGGTGATGCCATAGGCCCAGTGGTGGCCCTGGGTGGCCGGCGGGAGCCCCTCCAGCACCGAGTACCCGCCCTCCTTGCTGCCGATGAAGACCTCCCCGCGAGCAAAGGCGTCCTGGGGCAGGATGGGGCTGAGGGGCACCACCTAGGGCAGCCCCACCCCAGAGCTGGGAGTCCTCCCCCTCCCCCGCCACGAGTCCAGCTTGTGGGCACCCCACCAGGGTCCTGCCTGGCACCCTGACTCACCAGGGGGTCCTTGAAGTACATGAGCCTGCGGTCATCCATGGTGAACCACCGTTTCCGGAACCCTTCGGTTTGCTGCTGGACAGAGGTCAGTGACAGCCAGCGCCCCCTGGAGGCGGCCACCCACTGCCCACTCGCTCACCCCTTCACCCACCTGCTAACCCTTGCACCCAGGCTGTTTCTCAGCTATGGAACCTGCCCGGCCCTCACCTCCCCCAGGAAGCCTTCCTGGCCCTGCCTCCCCTGCGTGTGTTCCCACCCTTTGCAGCCCAGCCCCAGGTGACAGGGACAAGCCGCAATTGGATCGATCTCAGAGTAAGGCCCGGGGGGACCAGGCGCCCCCTCACACCCACCTTGGGTCCCGTCTTCTCCATGTAGCCCTCCTTCAGGTAGTTCCGAGACAGCTTGGGCACCAGCTGTGGGGGCATGAGGTAGGACCCCCTCAGCCCACTCTCTCGGCCCCTGACCCCACACACCCTCTGCCCAGGCCTGGCACGGCATGTCTCTGTGCCTTCTTCACGCTGCCGTGCAGCTGAGGCTGAGCGGGATGGAGCAGAGCAGTCGGGCTTACCTTAAGGCTCCCCAGGGGGTCCCCGGTCAGCCCCTCCGTCCTGCCCACCCCCATGCACTCCCCTCAAGCCCGCACTCACGTCGGCATCACTGGCCCCCGGGAAGGCCACCTGCAGGTAATGGAAGCGGGCGGCCCGCAGCGCGTTGAACCAGTCCACCGCCTCCTGTGGGACAAGAGGGGTCTGCACGTGGGCCCTCGGAAACCTCCCCACCCCACCCCTGCCCGGGAACCAGCCCTGGGCTAACACAGTTCCTGAAAATGGGCTTCCTGGAGGAGGTGCCCCTGGGTGGCCTTGAAGGCCAGGGAAGCTTCCACTGGTGGAGGGGGCAGTCTGGGAAACGAGGAGGGCTGATGGCCAAGGGCGCAGGCCGGGTCTGAGCTCCCTCTGCCCTTTCAGATCCGTCATTTTCAGTAGGATCTTATTTCCTATGAGTCTTCCGGCTGCCAAGGCAGGGGAGGAACTTCTCTATTTATAAACGGGAAAGTGCTGCCCGAGGAGCTCTGGGGGGCAGTTGCTAAGGCATCTGGCTGCTAACCAGAGCTTGGCTGTCGGACCACCTGCCCTGTGGGGCACTGTGAGTTGGAATCCGCTCCACAGTAGTAGGTTTGGGAGCTGCCCCCCCACTCACAGCAGGAGGGAGTGGGCTTGCTCCACAAGGACCCCCTCCAACGCCCCCATTCAGAGGTCCCTGTCCCTGCTCCTCCTGGCCTCCTGGGGTCCGCCCACCTCCCTCGCCTCCTGATCACAACCCACTCCTCACCCAGCCAGCCGCTGCTCCCTGCAGGGGCCCTGTCCTCCCAGCCCACACGTCCCTCAGCCCCCAGCTCCCTGCCCCCGTCCTGGTTTTGTAGTGCTGGATGGATCCAACTGCAGGTCAGCGCCAACACCTCACTCCTGCCAGCGGCTCACCTGGCACCCACGTCTAGCCCGGCTCCCGTCCCGGTTCCCACGGCCCAGCTCAGACCTCAGCCCTCCTGCCAATCACCCCCGCCCCCGCCCCCAATGTTCAGACCCCGCCCACCATCTCTGGCCCCGCCCCTCCCACAGCCCCACCCACATCTCTAGGCCATGGACCCCTGCCCCACTACTTAGTTAGGGCCCCACCCATCTCCTCTGGTAAGGCTCACAGCTCCACGCTCCACCCCTCCTGCAGTCTCATCCACCATCCTGACCCTGACCTCTCCTGCCAGTGTCCAACTCCCCCAGACCCAAGGTAAGCACCGGCTGACTTGTGCTAGCTTACTGATCTGTAGTGAACAGTTTCACATGTTTTCAAAGGTTCTGCTTCTAGGCGTGGCTGGTGTGTCTCCCAACCCCACAACCCCTTCCTACAGAGCCAACCAAACTCACTGCCATGGAGTCCTATCAGACTCGTAGCGACCCCTCCTTGGGTTTGCCTAGGCCATATCACTACAGAAGTAGATTGCCCAATCTTCCCTCTAAGGAGTGACTGGTGGGTTTGAACCGCCAGCCTTCTGGTTAGCAGTCAAGTGCCTTAGGTACTATGCCACCAGAGCTCCCAAAAGGAACAAGGACCCAGCAAAATTAAAAATTTGAGAGCGGAAATGAAACCTTCCATTGAAGAGTTGGAAGACGAGGTGGAAGAATTGTCCCAGAAAGTCAAGGAAAAAAAGAAGTGGGAATTGTGGTGGTGAAGTCTGCATTAGCTTGGCTGGGCGTGGCTGAGTGGCTGGGCAGCTGGATGTAGTGTTCCCCATGATGAGACTGGTAATCAGCTCCTTGGTGGAATCTACTGGGAGCAGCTGAGTAGCCTTAGGGATGCAGTCTGCTTCCCATATATAAGAAACCACTTGGGGAATGGTCTCTAGCTTATGGCATGGTTGGACCCTGCATGTAGCTGAGTCATTGTTCATCCTGCCACGCTCTGCTGACCTTGGGACTTACAATGGACTTGAATTAATGGCCTGCCATGTGGTTTGGTAACATCCGGACTGTGGCTTTTTACTTGTCAACCTTGAGCTTGTCCACCTCAGCAGCCAGCAGCTGAGTGAAGAAACGTCTGTAGCTCCAGTGGGCTGGGAGCAGGAGGCAGAGCTGGACCCTGAGGTTGAGGGGCCTTCACCCAGCCCCTAGAGCCTGGCACTTTGAACTCAGACGTAAAGCCTCCAAACTGTAAGAATAAACTCCTATTTGTTCAAGCATCCCATTTGTGGTATATACCTGTCAGAACCACACAGAGGTAACGAGAACAGGAACAGATGAGAAATGAGTGGGAAAATGAGCTCAGGAGAGCCAAACAGAGAAATCAGGGGAGGAAACTGCTCTGACCCCCGGACGTCAGCAGACAGACTGACAGGCCCAACTGCGCCAGCACTGCACATCCTCCGGGAGCAATGTGAGAGGAAGAAACCAACCTGTCAGGCTGCCTGCGGGGGGCGGGGTCGGAGGCCTTGAGTCTGAGCAGCGGCCCTGGAGGTTCACAGTCAGGGTGCCAGGCCTTCAGAACTAGGGTCAAAGGGAGTTCTGACCTAGAATTCCGCATGGAGCTGAACTAGGCTGCTGAATGGTGGCCCCAAAAAGGCTAGGTTCAAGTCCAAACCCTGTACCAGTGAAGGTGTCCTTGTTTGGAGATAGGGTCTTTGAAGATGCTTCAGTTAACATGAGGTCACGTAGGAGTAACCCAAAACCAAACCAAACGCACTGCTAGCGGAGTCGGGGTCACAGCGCCCCTAGAGGACAGAGCGGAGCTGCACCATAGGGCGACCACGGCTGTCAGTCTTCACCGAAGCAGACTGCCTCATCTTTCTCCCGCAGAGCACCTGGTGGCTTGGCACCACCAACTTTTTTGGTTAGCAGCCAAATTCCTTCAACCACTGCGCCACCAGAGCGCCTCACTCTGGAGTAGGGTGAGTCCTAATCCCGCGTGAGTGGTGTTTTATAGAAGAGGCAATACGGGGAAGACAGCCATGTGCCGACACAGGCAGAGACTGGACGACCCAGACAAGGCCGCAGACAAGGGGGGGTGCAGAAGATGCCTCCCCCACCCCCACAGCCTCTGCAGGGACACAGCCCTGCGGCCATCTTGGACTTGTGGCCTCCAGGAGTGACATTCCTGCTGCTTTAAGGCCCCGGGTTGTGGGCCTCTGTCCCGGCGGCCCCAGGACACGCCCTGGCACATGCCTGCTCTCTGGGGAGGCGGCGTGGGAAGCAGCCAGCTCCTCCCTGCCCTCACCCGGCCGCCCCCCCTCAGCCCACCTTCCCGTCCTCGTGGTAGACGAAGATGTTCCGGGTGCTGTTGTCCTTCAGGTAGGTGACCTGCAGCCCATGGGGGTGTCCGATCTTGGCTGGCTGGAAGGTGGCGTTGAGGTGCTCGATCTTCATGATGGCTTTGGGCTCCTTGGCCTGGGAACAAGACAAGGCTGGGTGAGAGCCAGCCCTGCACACAGGGCAGCGGGCAGGGCTGTCCCAGGCTCTGTGCTGTGCAACCTGGGGCAAGCTGCTCAGGCTCTCTGGGCCACAGCTCCAGGTCTGAGCACCTAAGGTCATAAGACCTGGGCATGTTCTCATCCTTGGGGGCATGGCGCCACAGGGGATGGGACGTTCTTGTTCCTGTGGGGACGTGCTGTCCAGGGGCAGCATGGCTTCTGGGGTCGTGTGAGGGTGGCTGGAACAAGCCGCTGGCTGCCCAGGCAGGTGCTGAGCCGCCCCAGGAGGCCGCCTGGGCCCCCCACCCCACCACACTCACCTCGTTCTTGTTGAAGTACTTCAGGGCCCCCTCGCGCTCCGTTAGCACAAACTTCCGGCTCAGGAACTGCCCGTTGTCACGACCCCGCTTCCAGAGAAGCCCTTCCCGGTACCCTGGGGAGGGAAGCACGCGAGATAATGCTGAGAGAGGGGCCTGGGCGGGCGAGGTCTCCAGCCAGCCTGTCCCCATCTGGGCCCCACGGACCCACAGGGGTGGCAGGCTTGGACAGGAGGCGGCCAAGAGGGGATGCTGAGGTTCAGGCCAGCAGCGACGGGTGCACCAGGGTCCGTGAAGCTGAGGCCCCTCCACCCCCACCGGGTGTGGGCTACGTTGGGTTTCCTTGGTTTGCTGTCTCTGAGGCCTAAGGGGTACACTCACCCCCATGGACATGCTCACTTAGGCCCCTGGGTGGTGGTTCAGCCCCAGCCAGGAGTCATTTGGAAGAAAGGCCTGCTCCCTAAAGCAAACCCTGCGGAGCACAGTGCCGTCACCCGGGGTCACCGTGGGTAGGAATTGACTCCGTGGCAATGGGTTTGGTTTGGGGTGTGCATGCCTACGTAACCCCCGTGGTTAGCAGGGCAGCAGCCCCGAGGACACGCTGGCCGGCCTGGCCCTCCTCACAGTCACCGGCTGCTCGAGGCCATAGCTGCAGCCCGTATGTTGTATGTATGTTGAGTGTTCCCGCCCGGCACGCTGTCAGACTTCACTCTGTGGCATCCGAGGGGCTCTCGTTGGCTGATTTTCAGAAGTACATCCCTAGGCCTGTCCCCCCGCCGGTTTGAGTCTGGAAGCTCCGTGAACCCCTCCACCTGGTGGCCCTCCACCTGGTGGCCCTGCTGGCGCCTGAAATACCAGTGCCGCAGCCTCCAGCCTCACAGCCTGAGGCTGTGGTCTATGGTGGCCCCACCCTGCTGGGCGGGGTCCTTGGCTGACACACATCTGAAGGTTTTCCACGGGGGCATCTGGGACAAGCTGGCTGTGAGTCGTCTTCTCCCTGACCCTGACCCTGACCTCTGGTAGAAACCTGCCCTCAGTTTTCTGGGTCCACACCGGGAAGGGGACAGTGGCCCAGATAGGAAGTGTCTGTTGGGCACAGTGAAACCACCTCCTGCCCTGACCACCTCGAGAACAGAGCCCACAGCTGGGGGCACGGGGGGTGGGGCTCTGGGGCTGCCTAGGCTGGGGCCCTGTGAGGGAGGGGCCAGCTGAGGGTGGGCCCTGCAGTCTGTGCCACAAGGTGGGTAAGCAGTCCTGTGAGTTGTGTGTCCTGACTCAGCAGACCTGGCCACCAAGCCCTCTGGCCCCACAGGGACAGGGGCCGTTTCCCCACTCCCCAGAGGCCATCAAAATGCAGCAGGCTGGCGTCGCAGAGGCGGGGACAGCACCTGGTCCTCCCTGACCCCTCCAGCCCCTTCCTCTCCCTGGGAGAGCCGGCCGCCCCTCAGCTGCTGCCGCAGGGACACGGTGCAGGTCATCACGCCGTCCCCTGACAGGATGGGGCTGCGTTGCTCTTCGTGTCTCAGCTGGCCCCCCGGGCCCCGGAGCTGGAGGGGAGTTATGTACGCACACTGGCCTCTATCACCAGTGTCTCCTGGGACCTGCCCACACCCAGGCCCTGGCATGACACTCCCGGTCTCACTTATCGCCAGAAAATCTCCCAACATCCTGTTCTCATCCCATCTTATGGATGAGGAAACGGGGGCTCAGAGAGTTGAGGGACTCATTCCAGGTCACCTCGTTGGCTAGGGCTGGGGTGGGCTGGACCCAGTCTCTCTGGATCCTCTCGGCCACCTGGCCAAGCCAGCCGTGCCTGCATGCCCAGCAGGTGGCAGCAGCGCCTTAGTGAAGGGTGAGGAGCCCTGCCGGGGACACGGTGCCCAGGCTCGGGCAGCAGCTCTCTGGGCACAGACTCGGGGACACTGGGGTCCCCAGGGGAACAAAGTTGCCAGCCACTGGGTGTAAAAAGCACAATACTTCACAGCGGTTACCCTGGCCTCTGGTACCCACTGGCCTGGCTTCATCTCCAGGGCAGAGAGGCTCTGAGACCATGGTCAGGGGAAGGACGCCCACCCCAGGCCACCTGGGTCAGAGCTAGAGCTCTTCCCGACAGCAGGCCACAGCCACTGGCTGCCTGGCTGCTGCAGTCACAGGCACAGGAGTGGCATTCTCGGATGGGGCTGGCTGGGGTGACCCATAGTCCGGCCTCCGCCCTGGCCCCGGCTCATGGTAGCTTATGGTGCCCAGTGGCACCAGCCTTGAGGCTGCTGGGGCCAGAATGGTCATTTTCTCTGTAATATGGGCAAGTGCAGGGGCAGAGTGGACGGCTCACTCAGCTTTCACTCAGCACCCACTGTGCACCAGGTCCTACTGCGTGCCGGGTCCTACAGTGTGCAAGGTGCCATACCCCGATCTGGGTAGCTGGAGGAGTCAGTCTACACTGCGAGCCCTGCTCAGCTTCCTCTTCCCAGAAGCCCCCGTTACACCCCCAGCCTGGACAGTGCATGGAGACATCGTCGGTCACCGTGACACTGCACAACCCCAGGGCACCTGCCACACAGTGCAAAGCAAGTGCTGACGTCCCAGTGCCAGGGAGGGCCACGCGTACATACAGGACGGCCGAACTCACGGAGCCTCACGGACCCCCTGAGAGGGGGCCGAGGAGGCAAAGGGCTGCAGCCCCACTCCCAGGAACTCAACCCGGGAGAGACGAGGGCTGCCCTCCACCCTGGCCCTGGTCCCACCCGCCTGCCCTCTGGGGGCCTCACTGGGCCTGCATCGTGGAAACAAGGAGGGTGGGCGGCTCTGGGACCAGCCTGCCCTGCACAACTGGGCCTGGAGGGAAGGGGGTGCCTGCTCCAACCCTGAGAGGGGCGGGCGGTGGGAGTGAGCCCCTGTGGGAGAGGTGGGGGTGCAGGCCTACAGTGTCTGTCTGTGACAGGGCAGCCTTCGAGCCCTGGACAACAGGGGACATTGTCCAGCCCATGAAAGGCCGCCTTGAGGCTCAGGCAAGGGGGGTGGTGTGGGAGGGGTCTGGTAGGGAGCCAGGCGTGGCCATGTCCAGGGTCACAGCCCCAGTGAGGGACCACAGGGAGCCGGTGGGCAGGTAGGCCAAGGTCTAGCCAGCCAGACATGAGACCAGCCCACCAGAGCCCCGCCCCCCCATCTCTCCACGCCCAGTGGCTGCAGGGAAGGTGAGTGTGGCAGGCGTGGTCCTCAGGGTGGCCGGACCCGCCTTGGGCCAGGGTTCTGTAGCCTCCCTCAGGCTGGAGCCCACTGGGACTTCCCACGTCAGCTGCCGAGAAGAACCTGCCATGGCCCCCGCTGTGGGGCCCCTAGTGCCACCGCCCAACCGGTTACACAGACAGGAGGTCCAGCCACAGGCACAGAACTCCACACACGGCGCCTGGCCCAGAGCAGAGAGCTGAGGGGTGGGGCGTGGTCCCCTTCTGCCCACCAGGGAAGGGGCCTTCCAGTGGCCGAGGCAGGGTCTGCAGCCCTATGAGGCAGGCAGGTACCCATCAGACTCCATTCCACAGGGAAGTGTGAGGACCCTGAGTGCCCAGTGCCTGCCCCCACCGCAGACCTACCCCAGCCCAGCTCAGGGGCCCGTCTGTCCCGTTCCAAGTCACCCATCCTTGAAAGTCCCTCCAGACTTGGGTTGTCTGGGCAGCCAGGGACCCAGATGCCCCCTCTGGCTCTAGCCCTGAGGGGAGGTCCAGCCTGGAGCCAGCGGTAGTCTCTGGGCTTACAGAGGCTCTGGCCAGTGGAAGAGGTCAGATGGGAACAGGAAGGGTTGGACAGGAGACGGATGCACCTGCCACAGGAACCAGGTGACCGGACTCCCCTCGGCCAGCACCGTCCTCCCCACTCTCCGAGCCCAGCTGCTGTTGCTGAAGTTGGCGGATAAGCTACCGCAATTGTGGGGCGGGTGCAGGACCGGGCAGCATTTCGTGCTTTCGCACGGCGGGCTGCTGAGTCAGAGCCGACTCGATGGCACTTAGCAGCACGCCCCAGCCGACCAGCCCGTGCACCTCTCAGAGAAACAAGGAGACCTGGTGGCACAACGGTGAACACGCTCGGCCACGAAGCAAAGGCTGGGGGTTCCCGTGCACCCAGGGGCCTCAGAAGGAAGACCTCATGATGTGCCTCTGAGACCCTGGCCGTGGACGCACCCGCAGGACCGGATGGGGATCACCAGCAAAGATTCTGGACGGCATGGGGGAACCGCACAGCAAAATCCAAAGGCACAAAAAGCCCGCCTTGCAGGTCTGATGGAGACTGGCTGTGGCCCTCAAACCGCTTCCAGCCTGGAACAGAACCCACCTCAGGGACCCCCATAAGGGGAACGGTAACACGGTGAGGAGCGTGCTCAGACCCCTCAACCCCACGAGACCAAAAGGGCAGCACACGCCCCCAAACCCAGCTCAGAAGGACAGACGGACACGGGGACACACAGAGGTGGGAGGACTGCTGTTCCAGAGAGGGGACTGCCGCCCACGTCACGAAACACGAGTTCAGATTGTGGAACGAGAAACCAGCGTGCTGTCCGCGCTCGGCCCAGCCACAATCAGACGCTGACCCGAACCCAGCCCTCAGCGGCTCTGCTCCGACACGCGGGGTCGCCGGGGGTCTCCTGTGTCGGGTGGTGGGCTGAGATCGTGAGAAGCAGCGCACAGGGTCCCCACAGCCCTCGCCCAGCTTGCCCACACCTCTGTAACCTCAGGACCGTCATCATGCAGGGAGCTGACCCGACCCGCTGCTCCTCCCCTGGAGGCTGTTGGCAGCCCCGGGACGACGCAGGGCCACCCAGGCTGTCCCTTCTGAGCCCCTGCCGGCTGTGCCCTTCCCCATCTCTCCTCATGCCCTGTGGCCAGCTGATTAGCCCAGCGCCCCTCAGCTGGCTTTGTCCAAGGTTTCTCACGACAACGCGGCTGTGCGTTTGGGGTGGGAAACCACACAAATGACGTCCCTCCTCGGGGCGTCCTGTCGTGGCATGTGTGACAGTGCACATCGGTGAGGCCGACCCAGATGGCGTGTGGCCTGGCATGGCCGGGTCCTCGTGAAGCTGCACTGCTCCCTTTGTAGTTCACAAGCCCTTGGGTATGGTGTCTTG